CTTGTCCGAGGATGTTCATGGCTAGGAGGGATTGGACGAAGACGTTTCGGGGAATGATCCATTTGTCGGAGCGGGAGAGCACGTCGATTTGGGCGGCTTTGGACTTCACGGCGAATTCGAGGGCTTCGATGGCGCTGGCACCGCCGCCGACAATGAGGACCCTTTTGCCTTCGACTTGTTTCCCGTCGAGTTCGGAGGAATGGTAGATCTCGCCCTTGAAGCGTTCCTGGTCTGGCATTGTTGGCATTTTCGGATCACCGCAGACGCCAACAGATGCGATGATGCCATCGAAGCGGCCATATTTGTCTTCCTCGTTGTTGATGATCCATCGGCCGTTCTTTGTTTGTTTCACGGAAGTCACTGGGGTGTTGAATGTGGTGTGTTTCTGCAGGCCATATCGCTTCCAGAGGTCGACGATCTGCTCTTTGATCTCTGCTTGGGTGGGATAGGCTGTGTCGTACTGCACTGAAGGATGGAAGCGGTACATGATGCTGTGGATCTGCAGGGAGGAGGTAGAGTTCACTCGCTGTGTGTAATTAGTAAGGGCATCCAGATGAGGGTTTCTTATGGCTGTGGCTTACACTCCAAATACCTCCCAGTCCTTTGTCTTTCGATCTCGCTTCAAAGATCTCCACATCGAAGCCATGGCCCACACAATGAGCGGCTGCAGATACTCCAGTGAGACCAGCTCCAATTACAGCCACTCGCTTTTTCGGAACGCCATTGGCAATCGAGGAAGGCTTTGGCGGATTAGGTGCAAAGATCCAGTTGAGCAGGTTCTGGAAGAGCATATAACATATGGTAAAAGACTGGAGGAGGGGGTTACGGATGAAGGCCGACAAGGAGAAAGCGGACTCTGATTCCGCCATGGTGGCGATTGGCTGAGCGAGTGAGGTTAGTGTACAGATACCGTAGTCAATGAATATAGGTCACTGTAAAAACAAAAGAATGGGACATTTATGTTAGAATAGAAGAACAGGAACGGGGAGGGGTGCTTTTCTAGGGCAGCGGAAACCGGACGGAAGCGATAATGATGATGATGGCAATGACGTAGAGGGTGGATCGGAGCATGTGAAGACGGGCCAAAGCCAATTCCATGTTTCATTCATCACGACCCTAAACTGCCTGCATTGGAGGTATTTTCAGCGAGTCAATAACAATCACGTTCTTAGATATTTGCCATTGCTTGGGTTGAGAGGCGCGCTGATCAATGGGTCGCACGAGTCCTACTGGGTATCCGACTTGATTTCAAGCCGACCAGCATCCGCATGGGGAGGGCGACCAGACCCCTACGTTTCGTACTCCCAAATCAAGACAAGATAGATTCTGGTGCTCCTCGAGGCATAGAATAATGCCTGGGCTCCGAGCAGTGGATCCAGCCACCATCACATGAAGAATATGCCGTTCTGCGCTGCCGTGCCCTGGCAGTCCATCTGGATTTCCGAGCCGCAGCTTCAAACCAGTCGGAAAAAATAATGCGTAACACCATCCCCATCTCCATGTGCGACATAATTGAGCTATGGCAGTCAGTTCTGACGTCTGGCGCCTGATTAAACTCCTGCAAGTGTAGTTCTTTGGTGCTTGTCGCATTGCCTATGCATCCTTGATCGCGGTCGCATGAGAGTCTCGGAGCAATTGGGGATCTTCGTATATTCAGTAGCTATTCCGTTGCAGGAAATCTCAGTCCCAATCACATTCCATATCCCAGTAAATGATTGAAGGCAGGTGAGTGGTAGATGCACTCTGAGCTTCACGGTGCTGGCGCCGAACGGACTAGTCTGCCCATCCAAAGCAATAGCTTGTCCATAGTGCAAATTGTTGACATTTCCTGGTAAGTATTTGTTTATAAATAGCCCAATTGGCATTACTGCAAGCCGTAGAAATCGATCCTTTCTCGAGCACGCGAGGATGAAGTTGAAGGGAAGAGAGAGAGAGAGACCCCAACAGGCGCAGGCACGGGAATTGCCCGATTTGGTCTAGCGGGCGGTGGGAGCTCCCAGACTTCGGCTTCATCGAATTCCACGATTGTTACCTTTCCTCCAACAAGCCTCGACCCGTTTGACCTCCCCGTCTCTCTCGCTCGACACGCCAGACGTCTGCCCTGTTACTCCCGCGGGGACTCGGTACGCCTTCAGCATTCCACCATGTGCGCCAATCGTTGACCGCTCTGCCCGACTCCCCGCAATCCGTGACGGACAGCCTTCGAGAGCTTTCATTCCTCCATACCTCCACCAAAATGGCGACGCCGACACTGGACCGTTTCTTCGCCAGTATTGCTGACCTGGTCAAGGCTCGAGATGGACGTCAACTTCAAGATTATTTGCAGCTCGAGCCTCCCCTGCCCGATATTTATCGACAAATGGTGGAGGAATTGCGGCAACATTATCCGGCCGGTCCTAAAGAGGCAGAGCTATTGCGACGATGCGAAACCCTCGTTCCAAAAACAAAAGGCGCCCCGTGGGCCGCCTTCCCTACCTTTATGAAGCTTTACTTTACCTTTCTACGCGATGTCAACCTGGACAATTTGCTCGAAACATACGACCTTCTCAAGGGGCTGTTGAAGTAGGTATAACACAACTCGTTGCTGGCACTATTGCTGACCCGTGACTGTGCCATTCAGCCAATGTGTACTGGCATTAGGTGACAGCCAAATGGGTGTCATAGTCCTCCCCACCGTTCTGTACCTCTCGAAAGTCCTCGCAAAGCTGGCCATGGGCCTCGACCGACGTCCAGACTTAATTGCCCACCTGCTGCGACTCGAAGGCCGGTCAAATCAAGAAGAAGCTACGGAAAAGGTGACGCTAGTGGAGAAATCTGCAAATGTTGTCCGGGAAGCATTTATTAAGTGTTTAACGGACAGAAGTGGCACGCCAGGTATCCACGGAATGCCAGAAGGGAAGCGGATAGGGATCTACTTGATGGCAAACCTTTGCCTCAAGCTGCTTTTCCAGGTATGACTGGATATCCTTCAGTGTGAAATTGGACTAACATGGGCCAGTGCGGCAAACTCCGAAACGCAGAGCAAATGTTTGCGAGTATCAGCGCGCAATCCCCTCCTCTGAAACACTTCCCAGCTTCGCAGCGCGTCACCTATCTATACTACCTCGGACGTTACCTTTTCTCCAACAACCTCTTCTACCCCGCCCAAATCGCCCTGCAAGCTTCTTACGATCAATGCCACCGTCAGGCGACGAATCAGAAACGAGTCATCCTGACCTACCTCATTCCTTGTAATATAATACTAGGACGCTTCCCCTCATTACAGTTATTGCAGCGTCCTGAGGCAGAAGGGCTGGTAGGCAAATTCGTGCCAATTTGTCGGCTGATTGCTCGGGGCGATTATATAGCGTTCCGCGAGCATCTTGCAATTGGATCCCCTGAAACAGAATGGTTCGCTCGGAAAGGCATCCTTCTTGCCCTACGCAACAGATGCGAAATTCTTGTCTGGCGGTCACTTGCACGAAAGGTCTTTATCCACGCCGGTTTCCACGGCGATCCTTCACTTGGACCTTCTCAACGTGGACCGCCACCATACCTCTATCTCAACAAGTTGGATGCGGCAGTCCGGTGGATTCAATCTCAGCATGCCCAGTCGGCCCAAAGCTCAATAGGATTCTTCGCCTCTAAACCCGAACCAGATTCCCAGGCGGGTCAAAATCTGTTCGGGTCCCAGATCATACACAAAGCAACGGACTGGGATTTCGAGGGACTGGGCGAGTTGGACGCACAAGAGGCAGTCGCAAATCCAGGCCTTATAGAGAAATATGGAGACTATCTGGCAGCGGACGGATATTTCGATGCGCAGGGACAGTGGCAGATGAACCCACCGGGCAGTCTTGTTGATGGACAGCCCTCTATAGATTACCAGCAATATGAGCTTGACCCGTACGCGAGTCGAGCCGACGTCGAGCAGGAATCAGGCAAACCTACTCTCATGATGCGCGAGCTTGAGTCCATTCTGGCCTCCCTCCTCACCCAGGGTCTGATGCGAGGATTCCTGACTCATAAGAATCCCCGTCTGGCGATTCCCGGTGCGCGTCTCCGTGGTGCCATACCGACTGGCTTTCCCAATGTTTGGCAGACAATCCTGGCTCGGGAACAAGAAGACGACAACGTTCCGGGATGGGTCCAACCGCCAGCGGTGGCACCACCTCCGACAGCCGGAGGTGGACGCGTTGTGAATCTGTCCGGAGCGAGACCTGTCGGAGTACAGTAACGACATTAGCTACCCATGTGGAGGCACAGTCCAATGGAGGATCTTTTGTACATAGCAACGAATATCATGACACAAACACAAAACAACTATGTGAATGATAAGCCAACATCTGGTACCTGATGTACCTGAACGATGGAACATCCGCATCAAGTCATTTAGACCGACTGGGCGAACAAGATATCTGCTTTAGGTGATGATCGACCGCCAAGCTCGGGGTCGGGCCCGATACTTCGGTCATAATTCAAGAGCCGAGGACTAAACTTCGAAACTGCCGGCTTTTGTGGATATCTGGCTCAGATTAATGATTCTGGACTCCAAGCTTGTGGAGCAGGGTCTCTCGACCGTGACCTTACAGTCCCCAAACGGCATGGCGGCGGGTGTGGCAGAATTCTGAAGGATTGCTGAAGAATTCCAGAACAGGTGGCGAGCGCTTATCCACGAAATGACCGGGGTAGTTCCAAGATAAGCTTATTTGGGCCTACAGGACTAATATCAAGTCCAGTTCACGGCTTCTGGTCCTTCTTACATTTGTCAATGCGGTTTTGGGAGGCTCATGCTGGACGCAACCTGATACATTGGTCCGATAGAAATTGGTATAGCTCTGAGGCTCGGTCCGATTCAAACAGGCATAGCAAGGTTACAACAGGCTTCAATCCCCGGGTAGATGACGACGCCGCCCTCGGTGCAAACAGTCCCTCCTTATAAAATCTCGGACTTGCAATTATGTGCTTGCGTATACCTTGAAGGCCTTCTTTATAAAAAGGGAACCTCTCCCAGTTACTTTGCCACTTCATCACACTTTCGGAACAATAATCCACAGCATTCACTCTTTTCTCTTCATCATCTAGCTGCACGATCTTCCCCATGCGCGCTGTTTCAACTTTGGCCGCCCTGGCTGCCGCTGTGCCCCTAACTGCGTCTGCAGCCATCCAGACAAGATCAGCCGGCTCTGACCTTCCTGTTGTGAACACCACATTGGGATATGTGCGGGGCACATACTCCCCCTTCCGTGGTGGTGACACCGCCGTTGTCTACAAAGGTATTCCGTTCGCCGCTGCCCCGACTGGTGAAAACCGCTGGAAGGAGCCCCAGTCACCCCAGCCCTGGTCTGGCGTCCTGAATGCAACCGAATTCGGCCCCCAATGCGCCCAGTCCTACAGCAGCGCAGGCATCTTCAGTAGCGGGAAGAAAAGCACTAGCGAAGACTGCCTTTATTTGAACATTTGGACCCCTAACTACAACGACACCTCTGACATCACCTCCAAGAACCTGCCGGTGTACTTTTGGATCTACGGTGGTCGCTTTGAGGGTGGTTCCGGTGACGTCCTGACCTACGATGGCACCGGTCTCGCCGCTAAAGACATCATCGTTGTCACCATCAACTATCGGTTGGGCCCCTTCGGCTACCTCGCCCACCCCGAACTTTCCGCCGAATCCGGTCACAACAGCTCTGGTAACTACGGAATTCTCGACCAGCAAGCCGCCCTGCGCTGGGTTCACGAGAACATCGCCAACTTCGGTGGCAATGCCAGCCAGATCACTGTTGGCGGTCAGTCTGCCGGCTCGGCCAGCGCCTTGGATAGCATGTGGAGCCCGCTGACCAAGGGCCTCGTTGCCGGTGTCATCTCTGAGAGCGGTGCTCGCGGCCCCCATGACCCCATGACCGGCAGTGCTGCCACCAGCCACCGCACTAAGGTGGCCGCCGAAGCCCAGGGTGTCGAGTTCCTCAAGGAGCTGAACGTCACCTCCATTCAAGAACTGCGCACCTCCGTCTCCATGGAGACCCTGCTCGAATACGACTCTCTCAGCGATACCATCTTCGAGGGTACCCAGTTCGCCAACGCTTCCGCCTTCTTCATGGAACCCCCCATGTGGCGTCCCAACATCGACGGCTACGTCTTCCCCTACGACTACACCCAGTCCCTCCTCCTCAATGCCCACGCAGACGTGCCCATCCTCACCGGAAATAACAAGGACGAGTCCGGCGCCGAGACTGACCCCGGTCTCACCGCCTCCACCTACAATACCCTCTACCAGGAGGTCTTCCAGAACTTCTCGGAAGAATTCTTCAAGCTCTACCCCGGCGATTCCACCTCCCAGGCCAACAACAACTCGAACGCCCTTTACCGCGACATGAGCCGTATTGGCACCTGGCAATGGGCTCTCGACTGGGCCAAGGGTGGTGCCAAGAGCCCTGTCTACACTTACTACTTCACTCGCTCCCCGGCTGAGAACCGCGACGAGGGCGCCTACCACGGCTCTGAACTCTGGTACACCTTCAACAACATCCCTTACTCCGACTACTCCAATGTCACTTGGTACCCCTATGACTATGTCGTTGAGGAATACATGTCCAACTACTGGGCTAACTTCATCCGTACTGGTAACCCGAACGGCGATGGACTCCCTCACTTCCCGCCCAGCACCGAGTCCGAGCAGACTATGTGGTTGGGTGACTCTTGGGGTGCCGGCCCTATTTCCGATAGCGAGGAGCGTATCGAGTTCATCAAGAGCTGGTTTGCTACCATGCCTGAGTGGTAAGCGGATGGGTGTAATCCTATCCCTTTTGTACAGAAATCGTCTGTTCACTTTTCCTGTTTGTCATCGTGCCTGAGGCATGCCATGTATTATAGATATTTGTCAAGTTCTTACGCTCGTTTACTGGTGTATAGCTATTACTTAGCTCACTGGTACCTTACTTTGTTGAATAAATACTTGTAAATAGTGGCATCGCGTATCACGTTATCCTCTTGAATTTACCCGTGGTGTTACTGCGCTTGAGTATAGTAAAGACTTCAGTGCTGATTCCAAAATATTATTTACAGCTTAGCTACGGAACAAGTGCTAATATCGATAGGTATCTTGACACGTCTACTGAGTAGAAGATCCAACACATTCATATCGAAGTTCCAAATAGATAATATACTCAAGTAGGTAGGACATTTGGTCATGTTGAACGAATACACATTACCGATGTGCTATGCCGTACAAACTGAATAATAGATGCTAACTTTATTGAAATGCCATGACAAAAAGAAAGATAATGAGGGAGATGGGGTAGTTAAGATTGAACGAAAACATCGCCGTCTCGAGACACCAAAAGCTAGATATATCAGGGTATCAAGATCATCTTCAGAGGTAAGACCTTCATATAAACGAGAAATGAAGTGTAAAACGAAACTCGAAAATGAGAGAAAAGCTAGACTCCAAGAACAAACCGCGCAGCTGCCTCTATCATCTCCTCCTGCTCGTCCTGCCACCCAAGAATCTGTCCCATCATATAGATATCATGCGGCAAGCCTGGCACCTCCAGATACTCGACCATGTTGCCCGGAACAGCGCGCATCGCATCCGCAAACCCCCTGACACTATCACACAGCATCTCCGCGCCCCCGACCTGCGCGAAGATCGGAACAGGCGTCGCAAAGGGATGCAGCGCCGGCGATAGGTACGGATCATCCAGACGCACTGACTCCGGCGGGGCAAACGCACGCGCACCCCACGCGGCCATCTCCCCATCACAGTAATCAGTCCGCTGATTCCGGTGGGCGTTGACAGCCTGCGAGTCACCCTCGAAGCTGTACTCAACCGAGGGTGAGAACAGAAGGCACGCCCGAGGCGGTGGCAGCTCTGCAAGCTCGTGGCCGCTCTCCTGCTGGAATGAGGCGAGGTGGCGCAATAGAGCCATGATGATGGTAGCTCCGGATGAGTCGCCGACGAGCACGATGCGGGACGGCGAGATGTTCAGTTCTCGAACAAGGTAGAGATATGAGGTCACGGCGTCTTGCATGGGCCCCGGGTAGGGGGTTGGATTGTTGCCACCTGCTAGCCGGTACTGCACCCACAGCGACCGGGTACCTGTACCCAGCTTCTCGTTGAGTAGGTCGGCTGTGAAGCCGGAGTCATCGGGCCGGCCAGTTAGCCAGAGGAATGCGCTGCCGTGAAATGAAAGGATGACGAGGCTCTTCTCGTCATCTATTTCTTGCTCTTGATCATCGTCCTTGATGTCGATGATTGGTGGCAAGGTCTTAGGTGGAGGAGAGGGATACCATGCCCCGCCGATGGTTTCAGGTTTGATAGTGTCGCTTGTGAAAGCACCGCGATACGAGTCTTCTGGGGCTGGGTTCATGAGGACCCATCGGTTGCCCAGCTTGCCTGACTCTAGGCTCAGGGACTGCGCGTAGCCGAGCTCGCGAATGATGGTCATGGCTAGCTTTGTGAAACGGGTGGTGAATGCTTGGCGATATGTCCATGTCGGACTCTGTCTAAAAGAGGGTATTATGTAGTAGATGCCAAGAAGTAGAGACACTAGTGAGACTCGGATGATTGATATAAGCAGCCAGATGGTCCAGCCTGGTTGTCGAGTCCGCCAGCCGTTGGGGATAGCGTCGTCCTCAGCCAGCGTGCGCGCCATTGTCGACGCTTTTTTTATCTTTCTAGAAGTGTTGCCTGATACTAATCGGTTGGTACCTCGATGGGAGATGACAGAGGTGGCTTGTCTGGTAATATAAGATGGGGCAGCCTCGCTGAGATCACCCGCTCTAGGCAACCCGCGCGGCAATCTGGAACAGGCCTGATTGGCTGCCGTTGCTGCGTGGAGCATGACTTCGATATCATCCAATCGGAGCCCAGCCGAGCAAACTTGGAGGCCTCAGGCAATAACCCCGGTTGGGTTGCACATACTCTTCCTCTATTAGGACCCCCTGTATCTCTTTCTGTGTCATCTAGTCTTATTCTTTTCTGTTTTCATATGTTTGTAGATACTCTACCTGTCCAAGTCAGTCTTGTCCGCTACTCATATATCTCCTATTCATCACGGAACAATACTGTCACAAATATATACTTACACTATTCGGCTCATTTACTTTTTGTACTCTCAAGGTGACTTAAATTGACAAGTGGACGGCCTCTGCTTTCTATGGCTGCAGTGTAAAATCATGATCATGCCGACCTTTCAGATAGTCATAGTTCTCATCCACCCACTCAACGCACGGTACCAAATGTCCCCAGTCTACCTTGCCTTGTAAGCTCCGAGGTAGTATGACCTTCAAGTCTGAACGGTACCACGCCGGGAAATGAATCGTCACGAGCATAACACGCGGGTCATCTGTGCGGTTCGGCATGCCTGCATGCCACAGCCGGAAGTCCCGAATAATGATAGCTCCCTTCGGTAGAGATGGCTGCACTGGGGGAGAAATCTTGCGGCGAGCCTCAACGATCTCCGGGATCACACCCGTGTCGTCACTGTCTCGAGGATCGGCGTCCCGGTGGCTACCAGGCCAGAGCTCGGTGGCGCCATTCTCCGGGGAGGTTGCCACCAGATTTACATTGATACACAGTCCAAATGGGATCTTGGGAAAGTCAAAGTGCACGTCGACATGCACCGGTTGCCGGTCCTCGGCTTTGAAGGCTGTATTGGCGCTGTAGAAACGTAGGTGTGGGTTTGGCCCCAGCATGCATTCGGTGATGGCAGTTGCCCAGGGGTTTGCAATGACATCCTCGAACATGTAGTTCGGGTCGACGACTGGCTCTTGCTGGATATTTCCTGTACGGGAGCCAAAGTTGCGGTGGGTTTGCGGGTTGTCATATAGAGTCTTGGCCTCAGGGACCATGCGCTCGTTCAGCTTGTCGAGATGGGCAGGGTCAACGCCGTTGGTGATAACACAAGCGCCATCTCGATGAAGGCCTTCAAGAGCCGCTTGGAGGTTATGAGAAGAGAGCTTCTTGATAGCGCGTTCCTCGTCCGAAAGTGTAATTTGAACCAGCTGCGGGGTTACCATGGTGGCGTTTTCAGTTGGAATCGTAGTAAGGAAACAGAGAAAAAGACTGGGGACCAGACTGTAACACTTACTGCACTGCTCCCAGAAGTGAGAGGGGTCACCTATATAGTTTTCAGAGCATACATTTGGATGAGCGCACTGATAAGCAACTCCTCCCGACTAAAGTGATACGCCTTCCCAGTTGGGAATGGCCGGTGGTGGCGGCAGGTGACCCGACCAATCGCTGGCCTGAGGTTTACCGTCGGCTGCTTGAACCTTCCTCTCTTCCTTCATCCTTCTTCATCCTGATAGTCAGGAGGACTCCAGTTGGCACTTGACTCGTTATCTGCCGTGCTGCTGCTCCTCACAGTGTCTTGGACCCTGTAGGTCTGTGAAGTCAAGATATAGCAAACCGATAAACAAAGGCAAGACTCAACTATAAAGTAGGGGCTTGCGTCCAGAAGGTGTGTGATTGACTTTCTAAGCGAAATATTGCCCTTTGGTCTTTTTGTTGTATCATTGAATCTAATCAGTCATGTCTTTAAAGGGAAATAGAAAGAAGTCGGGGGTTCCGGATGAAATCGTCAAACAATTACCTAGTAACGTTGAAGAGACTAAGGCTGAACGAACCAATGATGCAGAAAAATCCCTGGCCCATACCAGATTCGAGCACAGTCTCGGGTTCTGGAAGGCGTGCCAGTTCTACCGTCCAGCCCTGCTATGGTCTTGCTTCGTCAACCTAGCAGTCATTCTGTGTGGCTTTGATGGCGCCTTGATTGGAAGTCTGGTGGGGCTGACCCCGTTTGTGCGCACATATGGCAGATTAATGGACGGGCAATATGCGGTTGCTCCCTCTTGGCTGTCTGCCTTCAATTATGCCTCATACGTGGGCAGTGTGCCTGGCTCGCTGGTGGCAGGCATTGCCTACGACAAATACGGCTCGCGCATGACCCTCGCTGCAGCTTCAATCGGCTCGATCGGGTCCATCTTCTTTCAGTTCTTCAGCGAAGGCCCAGCTCTTCTCTTCGTTGGCGAGCTATTTAATGGATTCATTACAGGTGTCTACCCTGTCCTCGCCAATGCCTATGTTAGTGAAGTTGCTCCTGTTGCTGCTCGCGGTGTCCTCGCTGCCGTCATAAACCTGTCCTATGTCATTGGTCAACTAGTGGCATCGGGACTACTCAAGGGGACCAGCACGATGGATAGCAAGTGGGCTTATAAGATCCCGTTCGCTTCACAATGGGCTCTACCTGTCTTCATCCTTTCGCTCATATACTTCTGTCCGACTCCTCCTTACTGGCTCTGCAAGAAAGGTCGACCAGAGCAAGCGCGGAAATCTATCCAGCGTCTGACAACACCCGAAGTTGACGTGGACGCATACCTCGCTCATATCCAAGAGACTCTCCGCTTAGAAGAGAGCTCCAGGACCAAGGCCAGCATTCTCGACTGCTTTCGCGGTACAAATCTACGGCGCACTATTATCTCCTGTCAGGCTTTCAACATTCAAGCCCTCTGTGGTAATATCTTATTCATAAATTATGCCGTTTACTTTTTCGAGACTGCTGGTCTAGATACGTCGGACGCTTTCTCAATGAATGGGGGGCTGACATGCATGGGCTTCCTTGGGACACTAGCCTCCTACATTCTCATCTCATACGCCGGTCGGCGCACCATCTACCTGTGGGGCTCTACCGTAATCGCCTTGCTCCTACTTCTTGTCGGGATTCTGGCTGTCGTGCCCCAGCACAATTCAGGGCCTGCGTGGGCCATGTCCGCCCTCATGGTGATATGCAACCTCGTCTACGACATGTCGGTGGGACCACTGTGCTTCACCGTCATGTCCGAGGTGTCTGCTGTTAACCTGAGAGGTGTCACTATAGCCCTGTCCAATGTCACTGTGGTGATATGGTCTGTCATATTTGCTGTCGCCATTCCCTATGCAATGGACACTACTGGTGCCAACTGGGGCGGCAAGCTGGGATTCCTATTTGCTGGCATCGGAGTCTTGGATACACTATGGTGCTACTTCTTCCTGCCGGAGACTAAAGGTCGAACGTTTGAGGAGCTGGATTTCATGTTTCAGCAGAAGCTACCCACGCGTCAGTTTAGCAAGTACCAATTTACAGAGACACAGCAAGTAGCACCAGAGGCTTAGCTTGTTGTCTAATAGAAGCTAAGAAGATAGAATCAGAAGGCAAGCCTCTAATATATATAGATATTAGGTTTTAGTCAGCAGGTGGAAAGGCTATTTTACTTTTAGTTCAATAGTTGACTGGCCATCTTTAGTGAAGTGCTTATAGTTGAGTTGATTCTTCTAGCTTTTTTTTCTCAATGACACTGGTCTAATTTCTTCCTCGAACTCATCGACTTCAGGTAATGAAGCAGCAGCTATCTTGATCCAAGTGCTGCAGAAGTGCCTCGTATGCCGCACGCTTAGGAACGAGCTTCGTGTTCCTGTTTCATTTTGAGGTTTCCACTTCATCCAACGGAGTGGCATATCGTGTAGAGAATGAGAGCTCGGCACAGCTAGAGCACGGGGGCTTGTCTGACCATCAACAGTTAAGATGTGGATTAGGACTACCACTTGCCATAAGCCAAGTCTAGTTGTAGATATATATCAAACACCTGATCCTTGCGATTAGCTAGCAGTCGGACTGATGCCCCTATCTTATAGAAAAATGCGGAGAGTGAACTTTAAGAGAGTATTGGTTGCCGGTGACGAGTCGTCTAGACATACCGTACTCGATGATGACTGTTTATAGAATCAATGTGACTTTAGTAACCCGCAATCTGTGTGCTTTAGATACCCCCTTGGCCTGCCGATGAGCAACCTGCTTCTTCCATTGACAAGGAAGGTGGGTGATTACTATAGTAACTGTTGTCTTGTTCTATCAAAGCAGCTTTTTGGGTGTCTGTGTAAAAATTGGCTTATTTAACGCTAACTTTTCCGCTCATTCAACAAGCGGGTCCCATAGCTCAGTTGGTTAGAGCGTGACGCTAATAACGTCAAAGTCGAGGGTTCGAGCCCCTCTGGGACCATCTTTTTGCATTTTTGATTAATACGTCTTACTTTCTCTTTTTTTCCACCCCATACATACATAACTAACGTCTTCAAACTGTGCTTCTTAATCATGCTGTTCGTCGTCATTCCCAAGCACGAAAACCAAAATGAATATTTGTGGTTATTGTTCTAGCGGCGGTTCAAAAGGACACTGACTGGTCAATCACAACAAGACCACACCAGTCGTTAAGAGATTGGCTTTTATTTCATTCAATGAAGACCTGAACAACGTATCTATGAGTGAGAGGGAAAATAGGTGAAAGCTGATTGAGGAATGTGTCAGAAAGATCCAAATAGTCGTACCGGCCACCTGCTGGTATGAGTGTTGATGAAGCCTTTCGGGGTATATAAGCGCACTACATTTCAAGGGGACTACCAATTTGGGGAGGATATCAACAAGGAGAATGTCGCTGGAAAGTGAGTAGTACTTGATCATTTTCTTACAGACTGTCATTAACAGTCATCCCTACGGCCTATGACAATATACAATTACCAACTTCAGCAATATGGACGGTAAGGACAGTATTTGCTATGATGTTATGCAGGGATTGTACAGATATTAACTTCCTATATAACGAGGCAGAGGTTAGAGTTTATGACTCGGTTGCTATCGATATGTATTGCATGGCGGAGGAATATTGGTCATTAATAGTCAGTGGCTAGACCATCACCGAGAACAGTTGGAGCACGGAGACACTGTCTACTGACCAAATGTACTCCCATGAAGTCAGGAGAAAGACTCGCTGCCCCTGCCGTCTACGTTAATGATTACTCCTGTTGATAAGGTATATTTCCAGAAGGTGCTGAACACTCATCACCCTAATCCCATTCTAGCCCCGGAGTGGGAGACCGAGGCCTACTAGGTTCACTCCTATCTGCCAGTTGTCCAAAGCTGGGCTGGCTGCATGAGTTGCTAGGTCATGCAACTGAGGAACACGAACTGGCCAATTTTGCAGTATCGTAGAACTTTCCACACTACCATCTCATGTACTGGCATAGTAACCGGTTGTAAATGGAATTCGAAGGCTCAAGTTCCCAACCCAGTGAGGATTATCCTCAACCCACCAAGAAGCTAGAATCTTTCTATTAATATTCCCGTGTAAAGAAGGGTTACATATATGTATATGTACATGCTTTTATGGCCCATAGAGATCGAATGATATCGATTGTGGCCAATAACATGTAGGTAGGATCGACTGAATGTTGAATCGTAGTTGGTCATGACTCGGGTTAGCATCACGCAGGTACACCCCCAAGAACATCAATTTATTGCTTTACCTCTACCAATTGGTTAATTAGTAGTAAGTAAGTCAATCAATTGAATAACATGATGAGACAGACACATGTTCAACATGAAAAAATTGCAAAAAGAGATGGTCCCAGAGGGGCTCGAACCCTCGACTTTGACGTTATTAGCGTCACGCTCTAACCAACTGAGCTATGGGACCCGCTTGTTGAAAAGGGCTCTTTGCATTGGCTAAATAAGCTAACGATAAAGTGGAGTCAACAATCTTTTGAGGGACGTGCCATCGGCTCGTTTCATCTCACAATGCCCACGCTCACTATGGCGTATAATATACATGATTATAGATTATTCAAAAGGTGACTTTGGCTAAAAATTGTTTTATGATAATAATTGGTAAAAGAAACCATTGAGTATTGCCTACTACCGATGTTAGGCCTGGGCAGATGGCTCTGCGGTGGGCATGTACACTGAGGGTATATTTATCTGGCATCACTTCAAAGGTAGTAAGTATTGGCGTACTCTACTAGTTGCTCAACTAGCTAAATTACGCTGATGAATCTCGAGGCACTAACCGTACCATTCTACAATTCTACAGCAATACAAAGCAATAAGTCTTCTACAATGCCTAAGGATTAGGATACAGGGATCATTAAGAAATGTTACATTAGGCATTATACGTGGTTCAAAGTCTCTTAAGCCTGCACATCGACCAATATCTTGCAATGAGAGTCGCGATCGTCTACCAGGGCCTGGAAACCGTTCTCCACGACTTCATCAAGCTTGATCTTCGACGTAACCATCTTCTCGGGTTTCAATTGCCCTAGAACTCTATTAGAAAAACCAACGAGAACAAGTAAGGGACGAAACTCACCATAGCTAAGTGCTCGAATGACTTCCCGGAACGCACTCTCATCGTACAGTGCTGACCCCGTATAGTTGACTTCACTATACATCAACTCGTTGACTCGGATAGCTGGCCGCTTCTCCCAAACAGCAATGTTTACTATTGTTCCGTGTGTTCGACATGCTGCGATGGCACCGTTTAAAGCCACCTCCACACCAGCCGTATCAAAGACCACATCCGCTCCTACGCCGTCGGTCAATTCGCGGACCTTCGCCGCAACGTCTACCTCTCGCGGATCCAAAATATGCGTTGCGCCGTAATCAGAAGCGAACCGCTTCCTATTCTCCGTCAATTCCGCAACCATGATGTTCTTTGGCCCCTGTAATTTGAGAACCTGGATGATCCCAATCCCGACAGGTCCTCCCCCGAGCACCAAGATATTGTCATTTGGCTTAAATGGCGATATGTTCACGGCGTGCCAGGCTACTGCCAACGGTTCGACCAATGCTGCTGCTTCGAGAGATACATTGTCGGGAATCGTATAGAAATGTTCTGCGGGTGCCACGATGTATTTCGCTAATCCACCACCGTAGCCTACCAAGTTAATTAGTATGTAGGTCTGCATGTATGCCATATGCTGTAGGGTTATGTACGTACCCGACAGCCCGATGAAGCCTATCTTCTCGCAACAGTGTTCATAGCCCTGCTTGCATGGTATGCATTCTCGATCGAAGATGGTCGGTCGCACAACCGCTCGTTGTCCCGGAGAGATATGGGTCACGTCTTCTCCGACTTCTTCGACGATTCCGCTGAACTCGTGACCGAGTGTTACTGGCAGGCTAGTTCCTGTGATTGCGTGTGGCTTTTCTGGAACCAGAACAGGGCCTCCGGAGTATTCGTGGATATCTTTTGAGAGTAAGTTTGGGGGTCTTCGATACAGAAATCGATCGCGAACTCACCACTTCCACAGATCCCAACGAATGATGGTCGCATCTATGAGTAGATCTGTCAGCGCATATATCGCAATTGCTATGTGCGTGAAGCGCACCTTCACCTGCCCTTTGCCGCATCTGGGTTCTTCAATTTCCTCAACCCTGATGTCGCCGCGACCGTGGAAGAGCGCTGCCTTCATGACAGGCGTGGTTTTAAGGGTTGTTCGATAAGTGTCGACAGAGTCGGTTGCAGTGTTCAACATTTTTTGCGGGCGAATTCTGGTGTCCTCGACAATGGTGAAATCTGTATTTTCTGTAGTCATGCGATAGAAATATGATTACTAGTAGTGTATAGCTCGAGCGAATCGGAATTCTCAATTATCTTATATATAAGAGCAAAATGGTATAAAGTACATAAGGCAAACAGCATCCTAGACATTTTTATGACGTTGATCATGGTCACCCGAGATCATAGATCTATCGTACTATAAGCTGCTCGTCTGAATTAGGTTTGAGAGATCATGATGTATGGAGTGACCGTCGAGTTTGATTGGTTCATTTGCATCTCGTTCCTTTGACAACCATTACAACATCCATGATGTTGCATTCTCCTGCGCGACGCCAAGCTATTGGCCTGCGTATAAAAATAGTGCTCCAACTAGCAGCTTGTGATTTGCTGGAACTGAGTGGCGCTAATTCAGGTTCGAATATTTGCTGAGAAGTGCCCCAACTGCAAGCGGCCAGGATTCAGAAGGGGGTGGCTTGAGATGGCGTCTGGGGAGTGAAGCTCGATTCTTCACTTTGTGGGGTGCTAGGCAGTGGCGTCATATATCCGGCAATCCGACACATGACACTGAGTAATATCCAGTCCCGCAGCTGTCACACGAAACGGGGCAACCAGGTCGTTCTATCATTGGTGTCCAGCACTTGTCAGTCTAAAGAGATCAGCAGCACTGAGCGCAGGCTTCTAGAATGAAGGTAGCGGCAATTTTCCAATGGTAGCGATGGGCGGCTTTCTGCTCCCGCTGCCACACTTTAGTCGCAAAGCTGCGTGAAACTACGCAAGGCTCAAACGTGGGGATTCATCCCGACCAATTAAGCTTCTTCTTCACGCTGTTGCTCAACAAATGCTCGTAGAATAGACTCCAGTCCTTCGTTACGGCGTGCAAGTAGCATCACATCTGCGACATTGACTGTTGAGCGCCCGGCATGCCTAAATAGGAAGTGCCGAGTGTTAGCCCGGAACCAAGGTCAAGCATATCCTTATCCAGATCGCCCCTGGAAGGTCACGACCACATCAAAACAAGGTAACCAAGCCCTGTTAATGGGGAATTTAGGCTTAGGGGTCTGGCTTACTTAGCAAATGACTCCAGATCCTGGCTGACCGTCTCTGTTCATCATCCTTAGTCAGCTAAGGGTTACAGTGAGCAATACATGACGAAAGCCATCATGCAACGAGTAAACGGCATGAAGAATCGTTTGCGAATTGGTGATGTACACAATGAACTTACCAATTTGGGCCCAAACCATTTCAGTCAGAGCTCCGATGAACTGAGGGGTGGCGTTGACACCAAGCTTAATGGTCTCTTCATCCACGATCTTTCCAATCGATAACCAGAGAGCAGATTTCAAGCGCTGCAAGACGAATTGTTACTGTGTGCCATATATGCTATGGATGATGTATACTACTTACCTCTTCAAGATTAACTTCTTCGTTCTGCTCCATTGTCTATCGAGGCTATCGGAAAAGCAAGAAGCTTGATATATGGCAAAATTGATAGACGTTGCGAAACAGGCTTTTGTCCGTGGCGACAGGATGGGATCTATCGTTGATCGATCCAGCAGTCTTCGACGCGCGATGATCGTGTCCCAGAAGACGCGTTGAGCGTACATACAAATCGAGATCAGTTGTGATTGGCTTCTCAACCCCTCCCGGAGAATCCATAACTCCGAGCGCGGAATGACGCTAGACCCGAACGACCCATTTCCACATTCGGAATTCTTCTCTACTGTCCATTAAGTTCCACGCCTGTTCACCGAACCAGGGACTTCTCCTTACTCTTATCGCGTCAGTCTGTCAGGCAAAATAATTGCCCTGCAATCAATTCACCAGCTCCAATCCGCGAGTTGCCTCCTGGGCCTCCAAAACCCTACGACCAAGCTTCCCAACGAAACGTCCACTATCTTCCGGCCAAAGCCGGCGACTTCCCCTCTACGCAACCCAGCAACATTCGGACACACGGTCACTTCAGACCTGAAAACAAAACATATCATCCAAAATGGCAACCCGCGATCCCGGCGAAGTTGCCGCTGACGCTCTCAACGACTTTTTCGGTCAACTCTACAACTTCTTTGAGACCATCTTTACCCGATTCTTCGGAAACCTCTATGCCTCCTTCGCCGATGTGAGCATCAACCGCTGGACGAAGGTCATTCTGTCTGTGATTGGCTACCTTCTCATCCGGCCATACATCGAGCGTTTCTTCAAGTTCATGCACGACCGAGACCGCAAGAAGCAGTTGGAGAAGGAAAAGGCCAAGAAGGATGGAAAGAAGGCAAAGATGTCAGCCAATGAGCTTCGTGGCGGCGCCGGAGCTGGTCGAGTCCTCGGCGAAGTGGAGAATACGGACGATGAGATTGAAGATGGAGAGGACTTCGCGACGGCGAGCGGCGTGCCTGAGTGGGGAAAGAACGCTCGGAAGAGACAGAAGAAGTACATGAAGAACCTGGAGAAGGAGGCTGAGAGCCGGACACACAACCTCTCTGAGGAACAGCTTATGGAGCTACTGGATTGGAGTGAGTCGGAGGATGACAAGGCCGCGGGTAAGAAGGAGTAGGTCGTGTCTTTTGACCATATTCTTTTCTCTCCCTTGTATTCGATAATATGATTTTGGATGGGAAACATATACTTTGGAGATTGGGGTCTGTCTGAGGATGTACCATAAAGACTTGTGGTGTTATAATATATGTAATAAGATAAAGCATGAAGGTGGCCTTTCTGCGCTGCCTCTTAATTTATGACGCAGATATTTAATGGTTCTTGAATGACTGTAGAGTTGTAGTGGGCTACGATAGGGTCAATGTTATTTTCCTGGACTGGTCGAAATGTGTGACTTTGCCAAATGATCCAGTGACAGACGAAAGTGAGTGTAGCATCAGGCTCCCCATCAGCGTCTTGGCCCACAACCCGAACACAATGGTTATGCCGAAAAATAAGTGCATAATCAACTTCTGACAATTCCATTTGGACAGATAATCATGGGAAATACCTTTGTAACGCCGGTAGGGAGCGTCGATCAATGGGGTATTGATGCTAGAAGAAGCTGCTCTCGGCACACGCATGATAACACCTGCCGATACAGCATCCGGTACGGTATCCGATACTGCTACCGATACACCTCCGATACAGTCGAATAACACCCCGTGGGGTGAGATTCCTCCTTTAGCTTCAATATGAGGGGAACCTCCGGAAAATGAGAGTAATGAAGCAAGCCAAAGCCTAGCAAGGAGATATTACATTCTTGATAAGAAGTTAGAGAACAGAGTTCGTAAAGCGAAGGTGTTCTCCATGCCGTGACGTCGACGAATGTCCTGGGTACGATGCTTCCGGCCATTGTTACTTCGCCAAGCAATCACCTTACTACGTGTCAATCTCACTCTATTCCAATTGTTCCAGAAATTGTGTGGGGTAACTACAAATACAATGTTCTTAGGGACTCATCAATATATTCTAGGGAGGAAAATGTTGAGAGAGGCGGTTTCTCTTCGCAACGGGCAGCGGTCACGCTACCCCGTCTGGAGGCGGTTCGCCCCGCTTATCTGGGGTATCCAGCGGGACATACTAGAACAAAGTCGTCCGACTCGCTTGCATGTCACAACACTCAGCATCTTCTGCCTGTATACAACAAATACACATTAGCTTAGCTCAGCGGTTTATACTTGTTCTCCATAGGTCTTGCCGACAGGGCACGCCGCGCTTCTATTTGCTTGCTCAAATACAGCATGGTACGTACGTACCTGCTTCTACACAAAGTGGACGCATCGCTCTTCTAACTTAAGACTAGTCTCAGCAATACAGAAAAAGAAGGAAGATCGCGCTCGCCTGTCTACCATGTCGTACCCGAAAGATTCGCTGCGACGGCATTGAGCCCAGCTGTGGCCCATGCAAGCGACGAGAGACCTCGTGCTCTTATCCCGTGGAAAGTGTCAGGAAAGCTCAAGATAACCAGTAAGACTCTGCTGTGCGTATAATGGACAGAACCTCGAGCCAACTGCTTCTTTAGGTATATACACCGGTTACACACCGTTGACCGAGCTGCGTCTGCAAGAGCCACCCACATTCCTACTTCTGGAAACCCACTTGCTTGGAGTGATCCCAGAGTTGGACAGAGTACATCAAATGGTGTCAGTCATCGACGTGATTTGAATAATGATACCACCGACTCTCAGAGCATGCCTTTGCAAGCACACATAGAGGATGATCCTACTTCTTTTCCTCAAAATTCCCGCAATAACGGACATAATGCCTCTAATATTAGAACAAGGCAAGCCTCGGGCTTCCGGAGTTCTAGAGGAAGCCAAAGCCGAATCACCGCAATGGGCATAACACCCGACGAACCCTTCGGCTTGTCAGAGAGCGAGGACGAGTTCTTTGGTGATTCATCAGTCGCGTCTTTTCTAAATCAGATCAAAGAATCTGCAACAACAGAGCCTGAACGAGGAAGATCGACAACATATCCGGTTCCGCGTGCGACTTTTGGTACACCATCAAACCCAATGCCACCAGTGGCTGATAATAGTCTGAGTGTCAAAGCCTACGACCTACCACCACGACAGCTGGCTGACTATCTTTTAAACTTCTATTTCGACAAAATCCACAGTCTGTATCCATATGTTCATAAACCAAAATTTCTCCGCGCTTATAGGCGCTTATGGACGCCAGATGCGGAAACAGACACAGAATCCATCTCGTCCGGACTGGGTTTAGGGGATGTCTACGTGCCCCGGGCACTGTTTCATTGCGCATTGAACATCATATTTGCTCTTGGATGCCACTTTTCTAACTTAGATCATACAGCGCGGCAAGCTACAGCGGAGGAGTTCTTTCAGCGTTCGCAGCGACTATTGAACGTGATGTCACTTGATAAAGGCGATTTAGCCCTAGTACAAACCTTACTATTGACGTCGCAATACTTACAAGGAGGCGAATCTCCATCGAGATGCTGGAATATAATTGGCCTTGCTTGCAGAATCGCACAATCTCTCGGAATGCATTCTCTTAAGGCGGATAGGCTCAGGACACCTGCCCAAAAACAGATGAGAAGGCGCGTCTGGCATGGATGCGTAATGCTTGATCTGTGAGTGCATCAGATTAAAAACGTTCATAATACTGACAAAAACCCAAGGGCAAGTAGTATGATGCTGGGTCGTCCTCCCATGACTCATTCTTCCGCAGTACCTCTTCCAGAAGCCATCGATGATGAACTTCTCGATTCGACCACAACAACCTGCAAGTCACCGGCGGACACGCTTTCAAAAGCAGAGTTCTATGTCAGAACTCTACAGTTATACAAGATACTAAGAAAGATTCTATCTGATGTCTATGAGCCTTGGGAGGACGGGGGGTCTCCTGATCAGTCAGAACGGCCAAAGTCCGAGAATGAGTTAGCACAGACATTGCTCAGTTTAGATGAGGAGCTTCTGGAATTTGAGTCAAGTCTCCCAGCGGCTCTACAATGGCGTGATGCCCAGCATCCCGCTGGTGTGGCTGGACCATTCCGTCGTGAAAGCAGCCTGTTGAGGGGAAGGTGAGTACTGCTGCGAATTGTTTGATGATGCGTCACTGACCTTGCCCCAGATTTCTTCATCTTAGAATCTTGCTTCTTCGTCCTACATTCGTCAAGCTCTGCCGTGACAATTTGCCACCGCGTCAAGCGGCCGGCTACCCTCGATACCAACAAGTACCGTTGAAAAGCAGAATAGCCGTGGATTTCGGTATCAGCTGCTCGACGTCATGTATCGAGACTGCAATTGAGCTGTCGCATCTTATGAATGAAATCTCGACGACTGAACTGGCAAGTGTGTGGTGGTACAATGTTTTTTGTATGTGCCCCCAATGACGAGTATGAAGTGGCGGCCGCTGAACCAAACCACTAGATGCTTTTACGTCTGGCGTTGTTCTCATACTGGCTCAGGCATCTCCTGCTATGAAGTCTAGATTCCCTCAGCCAGTCTTGGGCAATGCTTGGAAGAGCTGCTGCGACTGTTTGGAAAACATGAGCTCGTACAGCAACACCGCAAGAAATTGCGCAACCAATCTGCGGAAGACTCTATCCCAAGTGCTTGACGACCAAGGACACGAAACTACTCTGCATACCGAGAAGCCTGCGCCTCAAAATACAGACCGACAATTGGGCCAAGGTGTTGTTTCATCTAAAGCACTGAATATCTCCAGTCTCAATGAATCAGAGGATGGCGATGGTTCCAGCCAAGGCGCTCTAGATACTCAATTCTCTGAGGCATTGGACTCTCTCTGGAGTGGAGATGATGTGAATAGTTCTCTGATGGAGATGCTATGGGATGACCTTTGGTTGGCAGCGCCATCATTCTTCTGATATTCGCCAGACCATGATGAAGCTCAGCCTATTAAAAAGTGAATAGAAAATATCGAAGAAGAGAGAGACACCTGGCCAACATACAGGACTTCCTAGGAAATCGACATTCATGGCCTAGATTATTATCATAATGGAAAACAATCTATTCCCATCTGCCAGGGAATTACTTGTCGGATAAACCATGGAACATGGTCTAGAGTTATAAATTTACATGGTCCTTCATTTAGAAAACGCCGATCTCCAAGGCGATCTTGCATAAACCTCACACATGACCTTGTCATGTGTGAGGGGTTTGAAACGCTTTCCCTGTGCAACACTTAGCTGACACTATACACTGTTATAAGAATCCGCACAGTCAGTGCCCGAATTCAAAGTAACCTACTCTGCCACGAGCGCATTGCTTATATCCATTGACGTCCCCTTTTCCTCTTGTCACATACTACTGGAACATTTCTAGCGTCCATGACCGAGATCAGGGAAACAGACGTGTTCATTAGCGGTGGCGAGCCTACTGGCTTGCTTACTGCGTATGCACTTGCTAGACAGGGTGTGGACACCTTACTCGTTGGTAGGGACTCCGATTTCTTCCCTCTTTTGGATTATCCCAAGAGACTAAGCTTCGTTATTTTCTCCGCACAGAGCAACATGACAAAGCTGAACAAGCCATGTATGGTCGAGCAACAACTCTCCACCCGCGTACTCTTGAGTTTCTGGACCAATAGGGCATATTAGACGACCTGAATCAAATTGGTTACGTGGCCCGCGATAGTGTGACTTACAGAGATGGCAAGCGGGTGACGGCCCGAGGCTGGGAAATTATGTACCAGCATATGCGTGGCACGTTCCTGGATTACTGTCTGAATATCCGTCAGAAGTACTCGGAGGAGGTGATACGAGATGCATATGTATCGCTTGGAGGCGAGCCGTACATAGGATGGAGACTAGATGGCTTCGACGTCGAGGAGGCTTGTTATGACGATTAAAAAGTCGTCTCACATGTAACGGAGGTTAGCTCGGGTAGGAGTTTGACGGTGAGGAGGTATGCGGGCAGTCCGCTATTTTGCTGTTGGTTTGAAGAGACTCATGCTGATATTGCTGGTTAGTAAATTCATCGTTGGCGCGGATGGCAGTCACTCGCTTGTGAGACGCCTCGCTGGTATTTTGTTTGAAGACGATCACACAAATTTCAGATGGGTACGCATTGATGGGCGCTTCAAGACTGATATGCCTGATGCTGATATTGGCTTCGCTTCCATCGAATCCAAAAGCCACGGGAATGTGCTATGGGTTCGGCTAGATCATGGTGTGAAGCGGATCGGATTTGCTATGACACAGGAATTGCTTGCTAATTATGGGGACAAGCTCACACTTGAGGACGCGAAGGTGGAAGCTGTCAAGTCCATGGAACCATTTTCATTTGAATTTGAAACCATTGACTGGTGGACTTTATATGGGTAAGTTTTCTTTCCGTGTCTCCAGGTTCCTTTCTAACTCCCACCACAGGATCAATCAGCGCGTAGCAGAGTGCTTTTATAACAACGACCGAGTATTACTAGCAGGAGACGCCTGTCATACACACTAATCTGGAACAGCACAGGGCATGAATACAGGCATTCATGATGCAGTAAACCTAGCCTAGAAGCTCGGCGGCATCGTGAAAGGTTGGTATAGTATCGATGTGCTTCGCAGCTATGATACAGAGCGACGTGCTGTAGCGCAATATTTAATCAACCTTGACAAGGATTTCTCGGCTACCATCTCGGGGACCGTCCCTGACAGGTACAAGCATCTATCATTAAGCTCGAATGAGCTATTTTCCAAGGTCTTCGATGATACGATTGATTTTTGTATCGGTTTAGGAATTCACTACGACGAGAGTGTCATCAACAAGCGTCCCTTGGCGACAGCAATATCAGCGGGCTGGAGAGCTCCAGATGCGTTGATATATGCTCCTGGGTCACGACTACCTATTCGATTGCTCCACCTGATGCCGAACGTTGGTACTTGGTCAATTCTTCTCCTGGCTGGACACCCCGAGAAGGCTAGACATAGTCTCTCCCATGCTGTGGAGACAGTGAAATAGCTTATCGAGAGCCTTACTCGCAGCATGGCTCGGTCTATAACAGTGGTTGCTCAGAGACCTGCTGGAGGAGACCAAAGGTTCAGTATCCCAACAGTTGGTCGACTCTACTATGACCCATAGAGCTCGGCCCATGCTGCCTATACGGTGTCTGATAGCAACGGTGCAGTCGTCATTGTTCGACCCGATGGAATACTAGGGTATGCAACGCAACTTGACGAGGCGAGCAGCGTTCGAGAATATTTTGCTGGCTTCATTACCACCCACAGAGGATACATGGATAATATGCTGAGCTCTTAAAGTGAATTGTGACATGACGTAGCCAACAATTTGGCTACAATTTCAGCGACATCTTCTCACATTATGTAGAACAGGTACAATGTCCATAGAATCTGGCACAGCACAAGTCGAATAATATAGTTTGGTTTCGGGTGCTGTATGGTTGTAATAATACCCAAGCCGAAACATACCACTACGGGCTATCTCCAAGTGGAACCTTTAGTTCCAAGCTTGATTCTCAGCACCAAATGAGTTTCCTGATTTTTGGGATTTGTCCCAAGCTTTCCGGCCGATGCTGATGATACCAGCGATCATTATGTATATGTATCGTTGCACTAAGACGAATACACTACCTTGTGCCGTGGTATGAAACTGACCCCGCAGATCCTCGACCCGCCCCCGCAACCAACCAGTGGCAGGTCGGTGAAAGATGACCTCTACCCGGCTAGCAGTAATTACAGTTCGACACACAACGTCCTTCTAGTGCTTATCAGTGCCACTGGCTCCCATGTTATTTAATCGACCTCTTCTTCCTCTATTTCTCTATATGCTTCCCCAAGTCTCATCCAGGTCAATTCATTACCGACCAACTCACCAAGATGGGCCTGCTTAGTGATTTAGCTCGACTTGATTCAACTCATCATGAATCCATTTTATACTTTCTGCCATATATTGCCTGCTTATCACTCCTCTCGCTTATTAGTTACGTTCTATACATCCGCTTCTACAGCTCATTAGCCAAAGTCCCCGGCCCCTTCTGGGCCAGTCTTTCGCGATGGTGGCTGGTATTCTTCTCAGACAAAGGCAATATGCATCGATTGTATCCTCGTCTCCATGAGAAGTATGGCAAATTGGTCCGTGTCGGACCAAGCGAAGTTAGTGTGGCAGATCTGGATGCCATCCAGATGATTTATGGTATGCCGCTTTTCACCTAAGATTGTTTCGTAACAGCGCTGACACTTCAACGTGTAGGGGCTGGAAACAGATTCGCAAAGAGTGATTGGTACAGTGAGTCCACTCACTCACCCTCTTAATTGTACTGATGTCCAATTTGGCTGAGATCAAACAAAGGCGTTTGGCAAGGTCGTCGCAAATTCGATCTTTTTGCAGAACGAAGTGAGATTATCCATGGGGCCCAGCGACGACTTGTCAACAATATCTACTCGATGAGTAGTCTCAAGGACTTTGAGCATGGCGTGGATGCAGTCGTCGAACGACTCATGCAGTGTCTACACCGGCAAGGGCCTGACGCAACTGTTGATATGGGGAAGTGGGTGCAGCTGTTTGCTTTTGGTAAGTTTTCCCAAGTAAAAGATCTTCAATCCATGTTACGTCCTTCTAATAAATGCAACCCAGATGTCATTGGAGAAATTACATTCTCCAAATCATTTGGCTTCCTCGAGAACGGAACAGACGGTGGCGCATTCAGTCAGATTGAGAACGCACTTCGTTCGGCTTCCTGGGTGGGCCAAGTACCCTGGGTTTATTGGCTGCATGATTATATGACGCCTCTCATCGGAAGTCGCTTGGGTATCGCAGCGCGCCATGGTACGATTCGACAGATTGCAGCTCGTGAGATCCTGGCCCGTAGAGAGGGGAAGCATGTCGAAGAAGCTAAAGACGAGCAAGACATCTTATCCAAGCTCTTTGATGTGCAGAAGAAGAAAGGAGATGAACTGTCAGATGATGACGTGCTCTCAATGGCTACGTCGAATGTTTTTGCGGGCTCTGACACTACTGCTATCTCGATCAGATCGATTATTTACCATTTGCTGAGGACGCCAGCTTGCCTGAAGAAGCTTAGGGAAGAGATTGAAGATCGGAAACGCCAGGGAAAATTTTCGGACCCGGTTACCCTGGACCAAGCGAATGACATGCCGTATCTTCAGGCGTGCATGTGGGAGGGGTTGAGACTGCATCCGGCTGTAGGAATGACTCTGCCTCGTGTTGTTCCTAAGGGGGGAATTGTGATTGATGGGTGCTTTTTGCCGGAGGGGGTAAGATGACACCAGTACCCATGGCTTGCTGACTGCCTAATGAAGGACTGCGTATTGACTCAAGATAATGATTAGACAACCGTGGGCGTCAATCCCTGGGTCGTCCATCGCGACGCCAGTATATTCGGCGACGATGTTGAAGCATTCCGCCCTGAAAGATGGCTAGGAGAGAAGACAGGCGATATGAGTGAGTCCATACCTCCGCCTTATGTTATGATTCAGCTAATCAAATGCCTTCTATTATTAGGACGATACTTCTTTGCTTTTGGCGGTGGCTCCCGACTTTGCATTGGAAAGAGTACGTCTACCTCAACACCACCTACCAAGATCCCTATAGCTAACTTCTCTCAAAGATATCAGTTGGATGGAAATGAGCAAGGTAACAGCTACTCAACTTAGTGTTATCACTCTCTACAACATCAACTAACCGAGCAATAGATGATCCCAACCCTCCTCAACCGCTTCGACATTCAACTCGCGAACCCAGATGAGCCATGGAAGGAAACATGTTGGTACGTATACTACCATCCACCCACAACCCGAATCAGAAACATATCATATCAGCCAAGTCAATACTGACCCTATCCCAGGTGGTTCGTCAAGCAAGAAGGTCTTCTCGTCAAACTCTCACCCCGCAAATCATAACCCCTACATCCTCAACATCCATATCCCAAAATTACCCCAACTCATCAAATTGTACATACAACCCACCAAGACAAATCAACGATGACTATCCCTCCACTCCCCCACCCTAAAAACCCAATCCCTGACCAACGCCCCAAACACCCCCCTCTCACTCGCATCCACCGGCAACCCATGCGTCCCGCGATCCAGCACCGCAAACGTCGCCCTAGGATACTTCTCCAACAGACCCAAACAATCCCTATACCCCACGCTCTCATCCTGCCTCCCACAAACCACCAGCGTCGGGGCCATTAACTTCTCCCCACCATTCCCGTTCCCAAGTACCTCCTCACTCAACCGATACCTCCCCACATCCCCCCTAATCGAATCCAAAACCCCCTTATCAACCCCCTCCTCAGCAGGAACATACACCTCCCGATACTTCCTCACCAACTCCCCCACATACCCCTCCGTCTGCACCAGCACTTTCCCCCCGTTCTCAATACCCAGAAGTGACCCATCCTCATCCGACAAACTACCCATTACCACCTCATCCCTAACCAACGGTTCAACCCTATCAACATCCCGCTTCCCATCCTCCGGCTGAACAAGCGGTACCCTAAGAAGTAATCCATCTATCTGAGCCATATACTTCTGAGCCAGCGCACGCGCAAGATACGCCCCGCAGGAGGATCCGATCAAAATAAATCGGGAATTTCCCAGGGTAGTGTCGATGAAGTGCACGAGGTGGTGGTAGATGTCGTCGAGGGAGGTGATGTTTCTTGCTGGCGTGGAGGCCGTTCCTGGTAGGGCGATGTAGATTCGGCGCAGGTTGGAGTTGGGAATGTTGGGGCTGGTGAAAATGGGCTCGAAATCGTGCATTTCTGTTTCGGGGGTCATTTCCCATCCTGGGAGGATGAGGATCGGGTGGCCGGTGGGTGGGCCGTGGGTTTGCGTGGGCAGGGGGGTCATTTTCTTTTGGTTTCTGTGGTGGGATGGGTTGGGTTTGGGTATAGTGCTATTGTGAGGGATTGTGGTTGGGGATGTGCAGGGTTTAGGAGGGTTGTATCTGGGAGGGAATGGTTGGAGTCATAGATTAGATTTGTGGTGGATTTGTCAGATCACGCCAGATCATTCATTTGGTTTTGTGGGTTGGCTAGTTTAGTTTGGGGCTGGGACTAACTAGTAGTGGATTTCAAGGTGTCAGGGTCAGATACGAGGGTGGGATTCATGCTAGCTTTGGGCAGTTATCCAATACATTGCGCTGTGGGAGGACTTCAATATGTAGTGATGGTGTTGTGGTCGTCATGTATATATAAATGAGATAATAGCTGATAGGGGCTTAGATGCATGCAGATCATGAACAGGCTTGGCAAGCGGAAGAGTCATGGCCATGTACTCTATGATTCATTGTAGAAATCTCGTTGCCACAACTGAAAGTACTTCATTCGAACAATACCGGAGGCCGTACCAGCCGATCATTGCGAGTGCTCCTTTAGCCACTTGTACACCACGGAAAAGTCCTTCCCACGGTGTTCCTCCTCGACAGCATTATACACCTTCTGAGCAGTACCTGCCAGCGCCAAAGGTGTTTGCGACTCTTCCGCAGCAGTAATCGCCAGTCGAAGATCCTTATTCATAAGACTCACTCCGAATCCACCCTCGTAACCACGAGATGCCGGTGCCGTCTCAACCACACCAGGTACAGGGTTGTTGACTTCCATGGGCCAACACCGGCCAGTCGACGAATTGACAAGCTCTGCCAAAGCCTTGGGGTCCAACCCCCAGCGCATGCCAAGATTCATTGCTTCCGCGGTCGCAATGTTGTTGATCGCTAGGATGTAATTGTTCGCCAGTTTGCCTGAAACGCCGGCTCCCGGGGCGCCCATGTGCCACGCCTTCTTTCCCATCATGAGTAGCACGGATCGCACACGATCAAGCAACTGACCAGTCTGCGAAGTGGCACCGAACATAAAGCTCAATGTGCCAGCGCGCGCACCCACCACACCACCCGATACAGGGGCATCGACGAAGCGCCCTTGGGATGTGGTTTGTATAGCGTTTGCGATTTCCTTTGATGACGCAGGGTCGATCGTTGATGTATCGATGAACAGTCGCTCTTCTTCTAGCGTGGGAAGATCACCTTCTCGTAGAATAGAGTGATAAACATCCTTGACATGCTGCGGCCCTGGAAGGCTGGTGATGATCACGGACTGGACAGTTCATCAGCAAACAAACCCAATTAAATGCGGGGTTGTGAATGGATATAGCACCCCAAATATGTAGCCTTAAAGTAGCAAGCAATGTCCGATCGCAAAGCCACGTAGGGACTCACATCGAGCGGTGACAAAACCCCGAATAGGAACGATCAACTTACCGACTTTTCCGCAAGTTCTCTCG